GAGACGGGGTTTCACTATGTTGGCCAGGCTGGTCTTGAACTCCTGACCTCCGCTTCCTTCTGCCTCCCAAAGTGCTGGGATTACAGGTGTCAGCCACCGTGCCTGGCTTCTCAAAACGCTGTAGAATTACCCCATAGTCCAGCAATTGCATTTCTGGGTGTAAGACCAATAGAAATGAAAGCAGGGACTCGAACAGATTGTTTGTACACCCATGTTCATAACAGCATTATTCACAATAGCATACATAGCAACCCAAAGGTCCAACAACAGATGAATAAACAAAATGTAGTCTGTACAGTATACACATACATGGAATGGTGTTCAGCCTTCAAAAGAAAGGAAATTCTGGCATGCTACAACATAAGTGAAGCTTGAAGGCATCATGCTAAGTGAAATAAGCCAGTAACCAAAGGACATGTATAGTATAATTCCATTAAATGAAGTACATAGAATAGTTCAATTAACAGAAAAAGAAAGTAGAATGGTGGTTACCAGGGACTGGGAGAGAGGGGAGAATGGGGAGTTATCGTTTAACAGGTATTAGGTTTCAGTTTTGCAAGACAAAAATAGTTCTAGAAATGGATGGTGGTGATGATTACACAACAATGACTGTACCTAGTGCCACTGAACTATATGCTTACACATGGTTAATATGACAGATCTTATGTATATTTTACTGGAATAAACAAGAAATAAACTAGATGCATATATATGGTTGCCTGATTTATAAAGAAGGTGACAGTGGAGAAAGGATGGTCTGTTCAATAAATGGTACCAGGATACCCTTCCCAGGCAAAAAATTTTCATCCCTAACTCACACCACATAGAAACATCAATTCCAGACGAACTACAATGTGAAATCTGAAACCATAATCCTCTTAGACGAAAACATAGAACAGCTTTATAACCTTGGGGTTGGCAAAGTTGTCTTAAATAGGATGCAAAAAATTCTATCACAAAAGAAAAAAATTAAAAGTCCAAATATATTAAAAACTTATGTTAATCAAAACATACCAACACGAGTGAAAAACCAACCTCAGAATTAGAGAAGGTATTTCTGATACACATATCTGGAAAATGACTCATATCCAGACTCTATAAAGAATTCTATAAATCAATATGAAGACAGACAACTCAATGGAAAAATAAGCAAAAAACGAACACGGCACATAACCATATGGTCAGATAACACATGAAAAGATGGTTAATTTCATTTGTCACCAGGGAAATACAAATTTCATTTGTCACCAGGGAAATACAAATTAAAACTACCATGAGATATTGCTGCAAACCACCAGGTTTAAAAGAAAAAACTAAGTATTAGTGAAAATGTGGAACAACTAGAATTCTTGTACATGCTGAGAACTGTGGTAACTTTGGAAGCTGGGAGTATCTACCATAAGACATATACTACAATGCATAGCAGCACTTTTTATATCAGCCTCCAAATGGAAGTTACTCAAATGTCCATCCACAATAAAATGGATAAATAAATTGCAGAACATTCATCCAATGGATGACTATATAGCAATGGAAAGAAACAATCTATAATAATTCCATTTCTTTAAAGACCAGATTATGAACTTCAACAATCTATAATATGCTAATTTACATGAATGAATCTCACAAAGTAATGCAGTACCAAGATAGGAAGCCAGTTACAAAAAGAAAACATGTAAAATGAATCTGTGATGTTATCAATCAGGACAGCAATTACCCCTTGGTTGTAGGAGGGGTGGTGATGCAGGTAGTAACTGAAAGATGGTCCAAGTGCAGCTTCTCTGATACAGTGAATGTGAAGGCCATTGGTACTGGCAAACTTCTTAAAAAGCCAGATAGATGAAGTAAAGATGATATATGCAGATTTTTTGGCAACTGTTTTAGGTTTAGCCGTCTAGGAGGTTATGAAGGGAATGGAATTATAGCAGGGGGATTATGTGTTAAAAATGACACACTATGCATAAGATATTGTGCTTGACAAAGGGGTGAAGTCATTCAACAAATATATACCAAGAATCTTTTATGTGCCAAGCAGGTTGTAATACAACTCCTTCGAGTAGAGGTCAATACACACATCACACACGCACAGTGTTAAGTGCTGTAAGGAGCGGAGAACAAACACACACAAGAAACAAAAAGAAGAGAGTAGAGAAAGACAGACGTACTTGACATAAAAAGTGGTAGAATGATGGAAGCAAGCCATAACAAAACTATCTATGCAGGCGATGGTGTTTGCTTATCTGCAAATCCTGCCTTGGTTTAAAACCAGGGAATATGGGCTGGGTGCTGTGGCTCGAGGCTGTAATCCCAGCATTTTGGGAGGCTGAGGTGGGCAGATTGCCTGAGGTTGGGAGTTGGAGACCAGCCTGGCCAACATGGTGAAACCCCTTCTCTACTAAAAATACAAAATTAACTGGGCGTGGTGGCACATGCCTGTAATCCTAGCTACTGATGAGGCTGAGGCAGGAAAACTGCTTGAAGTCAGGAGGTGGAGGTTGCAGTGAGCTGAGAGCAAGCCACTGCACTCCAGCCTGGATGACAGAGTGAGACTCCATCTCAAGGAAAAAAAAATCGGGGAATATGGTGAACTAGAAACAATATACACATAGGAACCCAACTAGATAACTTAGTTAACCATAATTTTCTTCAGCCTTGGTTGAAAAGAACCTTTCTTGCTAAAATAAAATCATTATTTATTTATGTATTTATTTATTTTGAGATGGAGTCTCACTCTGTTGCCCAGGCTGGAATGCAATGGCATGATCTTGGCTCACTGCAACCTTTGCCTCCTGGGTTCACGCGATTCTTCTGCCTCAGCCTCCTGAGTAGCTGGGATTATAGGTGCACACCACCAGGCCCGGCTAATTTTTGTATTTTTAGTAGAGATGGAGTTTCACCATGTTGGCCAGACTGGTCTTGAACTCCTAACCTCGTGATCTGCCCACCTCAGCCTCCCAAAGTGATCACAGGTGTGAGCCACCGCGCCTGGCCTTATTTTATTTTATTTTATTTTTTCGAGACAGAGTGTCACTCTGTCTTCCAGGCTGGAGTGCAGTGGCACCATATCGGCTCATTGCAACCTCCGCCTCCCGGGTGGACAGGAGTGCGCCACCATGTCCAGCTAATTTTTTGTATTTTTTTTTTTTTTTTTTAGTAGAGATGGGGTTTCACTGTGCTGGCCAGGCTGGTCTCTAACCCCTGACCTCATGATCCGCTTGTCTTGGCCTCCCAAAGTGCTGGGATTACAGGTGTGAGCCATCGCACCCGGCCTCTTATTTTTTTAAAGCTATCTTCTACGGGAAGAAAAGCCTAATTTTTTATTTTTATCTTAATTCGAGACCAACTCTTGTTCTGTTACCCAGGCTGGAGTGCAGTGGCGGGATCTTGGCTCACTGCAACCTCCGCCTCCTGGGTTCAAGTGATTCTACTGCGTCAGCCTCCCGAGTACCTGGGACTACAGGGGCCTGCCACCACAACTGACTAATTTTTGCATTTTTAGTAGAGAGGTGGTTTCACCATGTAGGCCAGGCTAGTCTCGAACTCCTGACCTCTAGTGATCCGCCTGCCTCGGCCTCCCAAAGTGCTGGGATTACAGGCTTGTGCCACCACACCCCGCCGGAAAGCATGATTTTTAACATGGTTATGACAGAAATTAGATTAGAAGGAGGCCTGTAGTAGAAACATGGCCTCTGGGTAGACAAGGAAGACAAATTAGATTCAGAAACGGCAGGGTTACTCTTTCAGACTTACTCTTCTCCAACTGAGTTGTCAGTCCTAGTCTACAAATGTGAACAAACATTAAAGCAGATAGGTATGCATGGCGGAATGTGAGAAGCATTTGTTTGGTATACACGAAGTGCCTGTTGTGTTTTCTGGTAGAAGACCATAATGCATTGGTGGAGACAGATATGCCGACAAATTATTCAGATAAAAGTGTACTAAATATGCAGTGTAATTAGGAAAAACCCGAGGGCAAAAAGAAAGGCGTGACAATGCTTCGGGGAATTTGAAATGGTTTTATTGTGTGACATTTAAGTTGGCCCTTGAAGGATAGGTAGAAGTTTGTCAGTTATGCTTAGAAGTGCAACCAGCCGGGCGCGGTGGCTCAAGCCTGTAATCCCAGCACTTTGGGAGGCCCAGGCGGGTGGATCACGAGGTCAAGAGATCGAGACCATCCTGGTCAACATGGTGAAACCCCATCTCTACTAAAAATACAAAACATTAGCTGGGCATGGTGGCGCGTGCCTGTAATCCCAGCTACTCAGGAGGTTGAGGCAGGAGAATTGCCTGAACCCAGGAGGCGGAGGTTGCGGTGAGCCGAGATCGCGCCATTGCACTCCAGCCTGGGTAACAAGAGTGAAACTCCGTCTCAAAAAAAAAAAAAAAAAAAAAAGAAAAAAAGAAGAAGTGCAACCAGAGGAAGCCCGTAAGCCTGGAGCGTTAAGGAACTGCGCAGAAACGCAGGCTGGTTTGAGTATTGGGCTGTGTGTGTCAGGTGCAATAACAGAATGCGAGGCTAGGAAGGCAGGTCGGGGCCGGAGAGAACAGGATCTGCAAGGTTCTTGTACATCAGAAGGTAATACGGCACAGAGGTCAGGAGAACCGCTTCCTTCTAAGTCGCGCTCCATCACTTGCTAGCAGTATGATGTAGACCCTGGCATGGGCGTACCCATTTGCAACTTGGGAAAATAGTCTTTTCCTTAGACGGATTAAATGACTGAATGAGTATCAGTCAGTTAGGGCAGCGTGCAGCTCACATTAAGCGCTACATGAGAATGTATTGTCATTACGAAGATTACTACGCCAAAACTCGGTTTCTAGGAGGGTACCCCAGCCTCTTCCCTACTGCTAGCGTTTGGGAAGAAAAGTTCTCTCGGGTCGGGCGGTGCCCACTCCCCACTCCTCCGTCCTCCTAGGCCTCCGACCTTTCTTCAGCGTGCAGGGCCCGGCCAGGGAGGGGGCAGATAGGCCTGGTGGGCTGCGGAGACGCCGCCGCTTACCGGGGCTTGGATCCCGCTCTTCGTCCTCCGCTGTTCCGCGGGCCTTGAAGCCGGGCGGCAGGGCCGGTCCGATCAGGTCCCTTGCCATCCGCGGTGGCGGACACTGGTCACAGATACGAGTCTATCCAGGTACGTCAAACCTATCCCAAAGTAATCTCGCGATCCGCATAGAAGAATGGAAGGTTCCCCGGCGCCGACTAATGACGTAAACTCTGTGGTTGGCTGGACCGTGTAGTTTACGGTCACGGAAGTGACGTCTAATACTTGCTCCACAGTCGCGTGCTAGACTCAGGACCCGGCAGAAGGTATGGCTGAGCCGGCTAGTGATTTCGTAAGTCCTGCCGGGTGGCGTGCGTCTCCCGAGCTGACTCCCACGTTAGGGCCCCAGAGCGACACTGCCCCGCGGCGGGACGGCTGGATGCTGTGGACAATGCCGCCACCGCCACCGCTTACGTCTTCGTCTCCCGCAGCCGGGTCAAAGCCTTCCTCTGAGTCGCAGCCCCCCATGGAGGCCCAGTCTCTCCCCGGGGCGCCGCCCCCCTTCGACGCCCAGATTCTTCCCGGGGCGCAACCCCCTTTCGATGCCCAGTCCCCCATTGATTCTCAGCCTCAACCCTATGGCCAGCCTTCCTGGAATTTCCACGCTTCCACATCATGGTATTGGAGACAGTCTTGTGATAGATTTTCTCGTCATCAGAAGTCCTTCAACCCCTCAGGTAGGCTATTCCTGCACGTGGGTCGACCCCTTTACCTTTTTTCCGTTCTTTCCTCTCCGCTTTCTCCGTTTCCTCTCTCCACTCTGCCTTGCCTCTGCACTCTCGGAGTCTGGTCATTAGTGCCTCAAAATACGTCTGACTAGAATGTTTCCCTGGTGCCTGTTAATTCCATTTAGCAGTTACTTATTGAATTCCAACAATGTATCAGAATCTGGTTATATAGCAGTGAGCAAAACATACAAAAAAATTCTTGTCTTTGTGGAGCTTAATATTAATATCTCGTGTAGGAAGACAGACAATAAGCAAAATAAAAAATTGTGCATTAGAAGGTTATGAGTGCAGTGGATTGAGATAAAGAAGAATGATAGGTAGTGTAGTTTTTTTTTTTTTTTTTTTTTTTGGTAGAGTGTCCCTCTGTCTTTCTGGCTGGAGAGAAGAGGAGCGCGATCTACTTCACTCCAGCCTATGCAACCTCTGCAGAGAGGCTCACTGCAACCACTGCCTCCTGAGTTCAAGCAATTCTCCTGCCTCAAACTCTCGAGTAGCTGGGACTATGGGCCTACGCTACCAGGCCCAGCTAATTTTTTATATTTTTAGTAGAGATGGGGCTGCGTGGTGTTGGCCAGGCCTTCCTGGATCTCCTGAGTTCGGGCAATCCGCCCTCCTCGCCTCCCAAAGTGTTGGAATTACAGGCGTGAGCCACCTCGCCTGTCCAGGTAGTGCAGTTTTAAATGTCATTGTTAGTCACAAGGAAGGTGACATATTAGCAAAGACTTCAAGGAGGTGAGGGATCACAACCATACATACATCTGGGAGAATAGGGTACAGGCTGAAGGAACTGCAAGTGCAAAGGCCTTGAGGCTTAGAAGCTATGCATCAGAATGGGAAGCAATCTGGCTACAGAGGACTGAGCCTGGAGTGTAGAAGATGAGGGAAGAGGATAAGACCTGGTAGGTCTTTGTAGATTGTGGGACACTGACTTTTACTGTTGTGAGGTGGATGGTAGAGGGGAGTGACATGATCTGATTTATGTTTTAAGAGGTTTAATGTGTCTGTTGATGGGAATTGACTGAAAGGAAAACTGGTTAGGAAGCTATTGTAGTTACTTGTCTAAATGAGAGATATTGGAGACTTGAACCAGGGCGAAGCTCAAGGGATGGTGAGAAGTAGTCGGATTCTAGATCCAGGGATGCCTTGGAGCTCTTGGGGGTTCAGTTACAGACCACTGCAGTAAAGCAAGTCACATACTTTTTTTTGTTTTGTTTTCCAGTGCATATAAAAATTTTCCTGCAGATCATATGGGGCAAAAAAGTTATTTTTACATTATATCATAGTCTATTAAGTGTGCAATACCTTTATGTCCCAAAAAAAAAAAAAAAAAAAAAACTAACATACCTTGATTAAAAAATACTTAGGCTGGGCAGGATGGCTCACACCTATAATCTCAGCACTTTATTTATTTATTTATTTATTTATTTATTGAGGCAGAGTCTCACTCTGTTGCCCAGGCTGGAGTGCAGTGGCGCAATCTTGGCTGACTGCAACCTCCACCTCCCAGGTTCAAGTGATTCTCCTGCCTCAGCCTTCCAGGTGGCTGGGATTACAGGTGCCTGCCACCACGCCCAGCTAATTTTTGTATTTTTAGTAGAGATGAGGTTTCCCCATGCTGACCAGGCTGATCTTGAACTCCGGACCTCAAGTAATTTGCCCTCCTTGGCCTCCGAAAGTGCTGGGATTACAAGGGTGAGCCACTGCATCCACCCTAATCTCAGCACTTTGGGAGGCTGAGGCAAGAGGATTGCTTAAGCCCAGGAATCTGAAACCCGCCTGGGCAAGAAAGTGAGACCCCCACCTCTACAAAAAATAAAATTAGCCAAATATGGTGGGATGCCTGTGGCCCCAGCTACATGGAAGGCTGAGGCAGGAGGATTCCTTGAGCCCAGGAAGTCAAGGCAGCTTTATCAACCAAGTTTATGTATATTATAAATCCTTTGTTCACATTTCAACAGTGTTCACAGCATCTTCACCAGTAGATTCCTTCTCAAAAAAGCACTTCCTTTCCTCATCCATAAGAAGCCACTCCTCATCCATTAAAGTTTCATCATGAGATTGCAGCAATTCAGTCACATCTTGTGGCTCTACTTTAATTCTACTTCTCTTGCTGTTTCCAGTACATCTAAAGTGACTTCTTCCACTGAAGTCTCGAACCCCTCAAATTCATCTGTAAGGGCTGGCATTTCTTCTTTCAAACTCTTGTTAATGTTGCTCTTTTGACCTCCTTCCATAAATCATGAATGTTCCTAAAGGTATCTTGAATAGTGAATCAAAACCTCCTTTCTAGGAGGTTTTTAATCTACTTTGTTCAGATCCATTGGAGCAATCACTATCTATGAATCACTATGAATTTCTTTCACAAACTTTTTCAGTCAGGCACGGTGGCTCACAACTCTTATCCCAGCACTTCAGGAGGCCAGAGCAGGAGGATATCCTGAGCCCAGGGGTTTGAGGCTGCAATGAGCTATGACTACACCTTTACGTTCCAGCCTGGGTGACAGAGTGAGACCCTTTCTCAATAGTTGCATTCACAACTTGGCTAGCCATTTGGCACAAGAGGCCTAGCTTTTGGCTTGTATCTTCTTTCAACATGTCTTCCTCACTAAGCTTAATCTGACTTTTGATTTAAAATGAGAGACATGCGACTCTTCCTTTTGCTTGAACACTTAGAGGCTGTGATAGGTTAATAAGAATGGGGAGGCCTGAGGAGAGGGAGAGGAGGACCACCGGTTGGTGGAGCAGTTAGAACTTACATAGCATTTATAAACTTCACCATCTTATATGGCCACTGTGTCTCAAAACATTTACAATAGTAGTATCAAAGAGCACTGATCACAGATCAGTATAACAGATGTAATACAAATGAAAAAGTTTGAAATAGTTTGAGAATCACCAAAATGTGACACAGAGACAGCACATTGTTGTTGGAAAAATGGTGCTGTTAGACCTGCTCGATGCAGGGTGGCCACAAATCTTTAGCTTGCGAAAAGCTCAGTAAAACAAAGTGAAGAGAAATGAAGTATGCTTTTATACTTTAAAGTTGGGGACAACATGATTTACTAAAGGTGGGATATATGGGATGCAAGATAAATAGGAGAGAAGGATAACTTTAAGTCTTTTGCCAAACAATTGGAAGGATGGAGTTGCTATTAACTGAGATAGGTAAGAACGTGAATGGAGCAGCTTTGGAAGGAAGTCCAGGATTTGAAGTTGGAATATATTTGTGTCAGGTAGAGATATTGAATAGGCTTTTAGTCTGTACTTTCAGGGGAGATTTGTGGCTGGAGCTATAAATTTGGGTGCTGTCACCATATAGATCATATTTCAAGCTACAAGATTGTTCACTTAAAACCATTCTCCAACTCCGCCTAAAATTCAATTCTGAATCCAATTAGTGTTTTATTTATGTATTTATTTTTTGAGATAGAGTCTCCTTCTGTCACCCAGGCTGGAGTTCAGGGGCACCATCCTGGCTCACTGTAAACTCTACCTCCTGGATTCAAGTGATTCTCTTTTCTCAGCATCCCAAGTAGCTGGGACTACAGGCATGCACCACCATGCCTGGCTAATTTTTATATCTCTGGTAGAGACAGGGTTTCACCATGTTGGCCAGGCTGGTCCCAAGCTTCTGACCTCAAGTGATCTGCCTGCTTCAGCCTCCCGGACAGCTAAGAATACAGGGATGAGCCATGACGCCCGGCCTAAACAGTTAGTGTTTATTGCATGCTACATGCTGGAAATACGGGCTTGACTAAGTCAGATGAGATATGTTCATGAGTATGAATCAAAATATAGTGTGACTGATGATAGAGGCATATAATAGCTGATTTTAGAATATTGAGGAAATTGGGAAAAGGTTTTGGAAGAAGTATCTTAGGAGATATATAGAATTTGGTAAGACATGTTTCCTAGGTAGAGAAAGAGGTGTCAGTAAAAGGCAAGTTCTGGAGATTGCAGGGTTCTGGTGAGACTGAAGCAGAGTGTGTGAAAGGTATGGGGGAAGTGTAAGAAAATAAATTGAAGGCCGGGCGCGGTGGCTCAAGCCTGTAATCCCAGCACTTTGGGAGGCCGAGGCGGGTGGATCACGAGGTCAAGAGATCGAGACCATCCTGGTCAACATGGTGAAACCCCGTCTCTACCAAAAATACAAAAAATTAGCTGGGCATGGTGGTGCATGCCTGTAATCCCAGCTACTCAGGAGGCTGAGGCATGAGAATTGCCTGAACCCAGGAGGCGGAGGTTGCGGTGAGCCGAGATCGTGCCATTGCACTCCAGCCTGGGTAACAAGAGCGAAACTCCGTCTCAAAAAAAAAAAAAAGAAAAAAAAAGAAAATAAATTGGAACCTCCCGGAAGGTCTCTGAGAAGCTGTCTTAGTCCCTATTGTGCCGCCATAACAGAGTATGACCTGTAGGGTATTATATAATGTACAGAAATTTATTTGGCT